TTAAAATTGAACATTTACTACCTTTAGACTTAGCCATTCCAAGCCTAGGTATTTATTCTGGAGAAATGAAAGCATATATCTGTGTAATGCCTTGTACATGAATGTTTCTAGCAGCTTATTTGTAATAACCCCAAACCAGAAACAGCCCATGCCATGCCATGCCATGGAAAAACACTCAACAATAAAACGGAATCAACTATTCATATATGCAAAAGTGTGGATGAATCTCAAAATAATGCTAAGTGAAAGACGTGAGGCAGAAGAAAGTAGATACTGTATGGCTCTACTTAAATAAAATCTAAAATATGCAAATTAATATACAGTGACAGGAGCACATTGGTGGTTAGTTGGGGATTGAAGTGGGAGGCGGGGAACAGCTTGAGGAAGCGGCATGAGGAAACTTTTGGGGGAAATGGGTAAATTCATCATGTTGATGTGGTGAAGGTTTCACAGGATTGTTGTGGTTTTTTGAGATGGAGTCTTGCTCTGTTGCCCAGGCTGCAGTCCTGTGGCACAATCTAGGCTCCCTGCAAGCTCCACCTTCCCGGGTTCACGCCATTCTCCTGCCTCAGCCTCCCAAGTAGCTGGGACTACAGGAGCCCGCCACCACGCACTGCTAATTTTTTGTATTTTTAGTGGAGACGGGGATTTTCACTGTGTTAGCAGGATGGTCTTGATCTCCTGACCTCGTGATCTGCCCGCCTCGGCCTCCCAGAGTGCTGGGATTACAGGTGTGAGCCACTGCGCCCGGCCGGTTTTACAGGTATTTATGTATATCAGTACTTTTTTTTTTTTTTTTTTTTTTTTTTTTGAGACGGAGTCTCGCTCTGTCGCCCAGGCTGGAGTGCAGTGGCCCGATCTCAGCTCACTGCAAGCTCCGCCTCCCGGGTTTACGCCATTCTCCTGGCTCAGCCTCCCGAGTAGCTGGGACTACAGGCGCCCGCTACCTCGCCCAGCTAGTTTTTTTGTATTTTTTTTAGTAGAGACGGGGTTTCGCCCGTGTTAGCCAGGATGGTCTCGATCTTCTGAGCTCGTGATCCGCCCGTCTCGGCCTCCCAAAGTGCTGGGATTACAGGCTTGAGCCACCGCGCCCGGCCAGTACTTTTTTTTTTTTTTTTAAGACGGAGGCTCGCTCTGCTCCCAGGCTGGAGAACAATGGCGCGGTCTTGGCTCACTGCAACCTCCGCCTCCTGAGTTCAAGCAATTCTCCTACCTCAGCCTCCCGAGTAGCTGGGACTACAGGCGTCTGCCACCACGCCCGGCTAATTTTGTTTTTGGTAGTTTTAGTAGCGACGGGGTTTCACCATGTTAGCCAAAATGGTCTCGATCTCCTGAGCTCGTAATCCGCCTGCCTCAGCCTCCCCAAATTCTAGGATTACAGGCGTGAGCCACCGCGCCCAGCCTGTATCAATACTTGTATACTTTTTTTTTTTTTTTTTTTTTTTGAGACGGAGTCTCGCCCTTTCGCCCAGGCTGGAGTGCAGTGGCATAATCTTGGGTCACTGCAAGCTCCGCCTCCCGGGTTCACACCATTCTCCTACCTCAGCCTCTGGGACTACAGGCGCCCACCACCATGCCTGGCTAATTTTTTTGTATTTTTTAGTAGAGAGGGGGTTTCACTGTGTTATCCAAGATGGTCTCGATCTCCCGACCTCGTGATCCGCCCGCCTCGGTCTCCCAAAGTGCTAGGATTACATCCGTGAGCCACCGCGCCCGGCTCAATACTTGCATGCTTTTAAAATGTACATTTTGGCTGGGTGAGGTGGCTCACCTCTGTAATCCTAGCACTTTGTGACTCGGAGGTGGGCAGATCACCTGAGGTCAGGAGTTCAAGACCAGCCTGGCCAACATGGTAAAACCTTCACCTTCAACGTGGTGAAACCCTGTCTCTACTAAAATACAAAACTTAGTCGGGCATGATGGTAAGTGCCTGTAGTCTCAGCTACTCGGGAGGCTGAGGCAGGAGAATTGCTTGAGCATTCGGGACCATGCAGCTCCCAAAGTTGCAGTGAGCTGACGTGGGGTCATTGCACTCCAGCCTGGGCCACAGAGCCAGACTCTTATCTCAAAAACAAAAACAAAAACAAATGTATATTTTAGGCCAGGCATGGTGGCTCAATCCTGTAATCTTAGCACTCTGGGAGGCTGAGGCAGGCAGATTGCTTTAGCTCAGGGTCCAAGACCAGCCTGGGCAATATGGTGAACCCCCATTTCTACAAAAAACACAAAAATTAACCGGGCGCGGTGATGTGTGTGCCTGTAGTTTCAGCTACTTGGGAGGCTGAAGTGGGAGGGTGGCTTGAGCCCTGAAGGCAGAAGTTGCATACATTTTATTATATGCTAACTGTACCTCAATAAAGCTGTTAAAATAAAACACTGTTATTGTTGCTAGTTGCCAGAAGTTGGAACAGGAGAGAGTGGAGAGTGTGTGGAGAGTGGGAACTTATCAATATTTAGCACTCTTTTTTTCTGTGAGGCGGAGTCTTGCTCTGTCACCCAGGCTGGAGTGCATTGGCATGATCTCGGCTCACTGCAACCTCCACCTTTCTGGCTCAAGTGATTCTCTTGCCTCAGCCTCCGGAGTAGCTGGGACTACAGGCAGGAGCCACCATACCAAGCTAATCTTTTGTATTTTTAGTAGAGACAGGGTTTCACTATATTGGCCAGGTTGGTCTTGAAATCCCGAGCTCAAGTGATCCGCCTGCCTCTGCCTCCCAAGATGCTAGGATTACAGGCGTGAGCTACCGCACCTGGCCAAGCTCTCTGTGTTTTTTTGTTTTGTTTTGTTTTTTGTTTTTTAAAGAATATATAAAATGGGCCGGGCATGGTGGCTCACACCTGTAATCTCAGCACTTTGGGAGGGGGGCGGATCACGAGGTCAGGAGATCAAGACCATCCTGGCTAACATGGTAAAACCCTGTCTCTACTAAAAATACAAAAACAATTAGCCAGGCGTGGTAGCTGGTGCCTGTAGTCCCAGTTACTTGGGAGGCTGAGGCAGGAGAATCGCTTGAACCCAGGAGGTGGAGATTGTAGTAAGCCGAGATGGTGACATTGCACTCCAGCCTGGGGGACAGAGCAAGACTCGGTCTCAAAGAAAAAAAAAAAAAAAATATATATATATATATATATATAAGTTGGGTGGGGTGGTGCAGGCCTGTAATCTCAGCTACTTGGGAGGCCGAGGCAGGAGAATCATTTTAACCTAGGAGATGGAGGTTGCAGTGAGCCGAGATCGCGCCACTGCGCTCAGCCTGAACAACAGCATGAGAGTCTGTCTCAGAAAAAAAAAAAAAAATCGATCAATCTATCTGTCTATCTATCTATCAATCAGTCATCTATCTATCATCTATCTGTCTATGGAGAGAGAGAGACAGGGGTCTCACTATGTTGCCCAGACTGGTCTTGAACTCCAAGGCCCAAGCAATCCTCCTGTCTTGGCCTCCAAATTGCTGGGATTATAGGAGTGAGCCACTGTGCCTGGCTAACACTCCATTTTTTTTTTTTTTGAGATAGAGTCTCCCTCTGCCCTCCCGAGTAGCTGGGACTGCAAGTGCATACCACCACCTCCTGGCTAATTTTTAAATTTTTTGTAGAGACAGGGTCTTGCTTTGTTGCCTGGGATGGTCTCAAACTCCTGGCCTCAAGTGAGCCTCTCACTATGACCTCCTAAAGTGCTGGGATTACAGGAATGAGCCATTGTGACCACTTTAGCTTTCCTTAAATATAGGAAAGAACTCCCCCTTAATCAATTTCATCAAACATGACTGATTTTTGTTTGTTTGTTTTTGAGACAGGGTCTCGCTCTGTCACTCATGCTGAGTGGGGTGCAGTAATGCAAGCATGGTGCTCAGTGCAGTCTCCTGGGTTCAGGGAATCCTCTGGCCTCAGCCTCCCAAGGAGCTGGGACTACAGACTGGAGCCACCATGCCTGGCTAATTTTTTTATTTTTAGTAGACAGGAGGTCTCCTTATGTTGGCCAAGCTGGTCTAGAACTCCTGGACTCAAGAGATCCTCCTGCCTTGGCCTCCCAAAGAGTTGGGATTACAGGCATGAGTCGCTGTGCCTGGCCTGACTTTGTTGTGCTTCAAGAGAATAAAACGCAGCATAACCTTAATTGTTTGGGGTCTATTCGATTCCTATGTTATTTATTTATTTATTTTTCTAAAAATATAGATTGGGTCTCTCTATATTGATCAGGCTGGTCTCTTAACTCCTGACCTCAAGGGATCCTCCCATCTCAGCCTCCCAAAGTGTTGGGATTACAGGCATAAGCCACCGCACCCAGCTGACATTATTTAAACACTCTTCTTATTGTCCTTGAATGTCTCCTAATTTCTCCTTGAAGTGTACAGGGAAAATAAAAGAAGCTAGAATTCAAAGCAATCTAAATTCTATCTGGTTAATAGCTGTTTGATAAAACCTCCACAGGGAACAAATGAAAACTTTTTTTTTTTTTTTGAGACAGAGTTTCGTTCTTGTTGCCCAGACTTGAGTGCAATGGTGCATTCTCAGCTCACCACAACCTCCGCCTCCTGGGTTCAAGTGATTCTCCTACCTCAGCCTCCCGAGCACCTGGGATTACAGGCATGTGCAATCACGCTCAGCTAACTTTTTGTATTTTTAGTAGAGACGGGTTTCTCCATGTTGGTCAGGCTGATCTCGAACTCCCGACCTCAGGCAATCCGCCCACCTTGGCCTCCCAAAGTGCTGGGATTACAGACATGGGCCACCATGCCTGCCTTGATTTATTTCTTAAATGGCTTTATTAAACCTGATATAAAGATTTAATAAATGGCTTTATTAAACCTGATATAATGTCAAATTGGAGCTTGTTATATCCACAGTCGGTGTCAGGTGAAATTGTCATTTGAAGTCAAAGCAACCCTAAATACAGTCAAATATCATGAAAGTGATTTCTTAAATAAACAAAAATGTATTCGGTCACAGAAAGTTTGAAAAGAAAATTGCAGTTTGTAAACTTCAGATTCACTACCTACCTCTCTTGCTCGATGGAGCTGTGCGCGCTCAATCTTAGAGATGATATCCTTTACTGAGAATGGGATCTCAAGGTTAGGGAGCACGAAAGGACTAAGGACATTTTGGGGCTCTCTTCTCATGATGGTGGAATCCTTGATGTATTTTTCTGATTCGGGGTCATCGTCTATCTCATTTTTCATTTTGAAAAACATTTCGAAGATGTGGGTGATATCCTTTTATTTCTTCTTTTTCACAGAATCTACGAAAATGCTAATAAAGATATCCAGTAGGAAGCTAGGAGAGGTCTTTCCTGCTCCCAGAAGTTGTGGCATACTCTGCTGCTAATTGGTGGCTACCATGATATTCCAGTCCTGTTGATGTCACAATAGACCCATTGTGACATTATCATTGATCAAACATGTAAAGAGTGCTTACTATGTGCAGAGAACTGGTCATTCTATATGCTGCCATGGTAGAAGGGTGAAGGGGGGAAGGAGGGTAGGAAATAATAGACAATAGAAATGCTAAAATAAATAGAAGATATAGCCCTGCTTAAATAACCTTAAAATCTAGATATGTTGGCTGGGCACAGTGGCTCACTCCTGTAATCCCAGCACTTTGGGAGGCCGAGGCAGGCGGATCACCAGAGGTCGGAGTTCGAGACCAGCCTGACCAACATGGAGAAACTCCTGTCTCTACTAAAAAACAAAATACAAAATCAGCCAGGCGAGGTGGCGCATGCCTGTAGTCCCAGCTACTCAGGAGGCTGAGGCAGGAGAATCACTTGAACCTGGGAGGCAGAGGTTGTGGTGAGCCGAGATTGTGTCATTGCACTCCAGCCTGGGCAACAAGAGTGAAACTGTCTCAGAAAAAAAAAAAAAAAAAAAAAATCTAGGTGTGTCAAATATCACTGTAATGGAATAAGGGTTACAACTACTTCCTCAGCTGCCCCTTAACTTTTCCTAGACATGTAGTAACTTGGATGATATCATTTGGATGAAGTAACTTGGATGATATTATTTGGATGAGGATCACACTCTTTGCACTGCTTACTCTTTATACTTTTCTTTTTTTTTTTCGAGACAGAGTCTCACTTTATTACCCAGGCTGGAGCACAGTGTCATGATCTCGGTTCACTGCAACCTCTGCCTCCCAGGTTCAAGAGATTCTTGTGCCTCAACCTCCCAGATTCTCAGATTCCTCAGCTGGAATTACAGGCACGCGCCACCACACCTGGCTAATTTTTGTTTAATATTTGCTTTAGATATTTTTTAAATTAAAAAAAGCATTAGAGAAGGTCGAAGTCCTCTTTGATGTCTCCCAACCCCTGGTTCCTTCCTTCCCCACTGTCCCATTCCAGATGAAATGACAATCATGAATTTTACATATTTGAGTCTACTTTTACATAGTTTTACTACAAGTGTATATATATATTTTTTCTTTCTTTCTTTCTTTCTTTTTTTTTTTTTTTGAGACAGAGTCTCACTCTATTGTCCAGGCTGGAGTGTAGTAGCGCGATCTCAGCTCACTGCAACCTCTGCCTCCCAGGTTCAAGTGATTCTCCTACCTCAGCCTTCTGTGTAGCTGGGATTACAGGCGTGCGCCACCACACCCGGCTAATTTTTTTTTTTTTTTAATGTGAGATGGAGTCTCGCCTGTGGCCCAGGCTGGAGTGCAGTGGCGCAATCTCGGCTCACTGCAAGCTCTGCCTCCTGGGTTCACGCCATTCTCCTGCCTCAGCCTCCCGAGTAGCTGGGACTACAGGTGCCCACCACTATGCTCGGCTAATTTTTTTTGTATTTTTTAGTAGAGATGGGGTTTCACCGTGTTAGTCAGGATGGTCTCGATCTCCTGACCTTGTGATCCGCCCGCCTCGGCCTCCCAAAGTGCTGGGATTACAGGCGTGAGCCACTGTGCCCAGCCTATACCTGGCTAATTTTTTATATTTTTGGTAGAGATGGGGTTTCACTGTGTTGGCCAGGCTGGTCTCAAACTCCTCAAGTGATCCACTCACCTCAGCCTCCCAAAGTTTAGTTGTCAGCTAAACTAATTTTGCATTATTGCTTTCTCTCTCACTTGCATCTTTTATGCAGCATGGAATTCATCAATCAGCAACTAGACATGAAGGCTTTTCTTTGAGACAGAATCTCACTTTGTTGCCCAGGCTGGAGTGCAGTATCACGATCAAGGCTCACTACAAGCTCCGCTTCTCTGGTTCACGCCATTCTCCTGCCTCAGCCTCCCGCGTATCTGGGATTACAGGCGCCTGGCTAATTTTTTGTATTTTTAGTAGAGACGGAGTTTCACCGTGTTAGCCAGGCTCGTCTTGATCTCCTGACCTCGTGATCTACCCTCTTCAGCCTCCCAAAGTGCTGGGATTACAGGCATGAGCCACCACACCCGACCACGAAGGCTTCTTAAAGTCAATTTTTAAATCCTGCTTCCCTTTCTATTCGACAAGCATTTGTTGAAACACTATGCTGCTTACATTATCCTACACTGAAGAATATATGATAGGGTTCCTGTAAAGAAACTAAAACAAAAAAGAAAAAGCAAAGATTTAAGATAGAATATAATAATCAAGTGCTAATAAGGGACACGAGGAAGAGATCTATAGGAGTAGAGTCTTTGAGAAAACCTTATGGAGAGAGAAGATTGATTGACAAATGGAGGCAATCCAGATAGGGACTACACCTTGAGCCATGGCTTTGGAGGTGAGTGCTAATGAGTTTGCATCTCAGGGGGAAAGTAAGGAGATTGGTTTAATCACTGAGATAACCTAACAGGAGTTTACCGAGAACCAGATTAGGGTGGGTCTGAGATAACAGCTATCAGCAATTTGGTGGTGGAATTAATGTGGTATCTGAGGAGATTCCATTTGCGGCAAAGCAAGGAAGATTTCATGAGATCAGAATGGCAAAGTCTTGAAATCAAGTTAACAGTGGTTTGGTGAAAATGAGACCTTTACTTGAGGAAGATTTTTAAAATAATATAATGGAAAAATCCATTGGAAAAGATCAAGCATGATTATTTCATATTTATTTATTATTATTATTTTTTAGAGACAGAGTCGCACTCTGTCACCCAGGCTTGAGTGCAGTGCCGTGATCTTGGCTCACTGCAACCTCTGCCTCCTGGGTTCTAGCAATTCTCCTGCTTCAGCCTCCCACGTAGCTGGGACTACAGGCACACACTGCCATGGCTGGCTGATTTTTTGTATTTTACTAGAGATGGGGTTTCACCGTGTTGCCCAGGCTGGTCTCAAACTCCTGACCTAAGGCAATCCACCCGCCTCGGCCTCCCAAAGTGCTAGGATTACAGGCATGAGCCACGGCGCCCGGCCAATTTTTATTCATTACCAAATGATTATTATTTTTGAGACAGAGTCTCACTCAGTTGCCCAGGCTGGAGTGCAGTGGCGCAATGTCGGTTCACTGTTATCTCTGCCTCCTGGGTTCAAGCAATTCTGCCTCAGCCTCCGGAGTAGCCGGGATTACAGGTGTGCACCATCACACCCGGCTAATTTTTGTATTTTTAGTAGAGACGGGGTTTTACAATGTTGGCCAGGCTGGTCTTGAACTCCTGACCTCAAGTGATCCGTCCGCCTCAGCCTTCCAAAGTGCTGGGATTGTAGGTGTGAGCCACCCCTCCCAGCCAATACATGATTATTTCAAAAGATGAGTGTTTGAACTAGGACGTAGACGTGGGAGTGGTAAGGGAGGGACATATTGCTAAAGATAAGGAATTTGGACCATCTAACAAATATTATAGATAATTTAAAAAATTTGTTTTTATTGTATTTCGTTTGAATTAATGACAGAATATCAAAGAAGAGACTATACAGATTAAGCGTTGTTACTAGTATATTAAGTGGAGATATGGGTAACTAATTCAAATGAGCCCAGGGCAAAGTTCTTTAAAGGTGTGTCAAAGCGAAACCCAACCTCCTAGAGGGCTCCTTCAACTGTAAAATGGGGATGATAATAATATTATTTATTGCATAAAATTGTTTTAAGATCAATTAACATAAAATGCTCAGTATAGTGCCAAGCACAATGTAAGCATTTAATATACAGTAACTGCTATTAACGTATTTACTACTATCATAGCTTTTTATGGCTTTTTTTTTTTTCTTGTCTACTTTTCTTCTGTGAGCCACCAGTTTTCGGCAGGGTTGGACGTTTGTTCAGCACACGTCGCCAAGGTCGGCTTTAAAAATCAAATCTAGATTGTGAACTATGAAAACTGCGGAATTATCAGTGCTGTGTAGCTATCTGACAAGTGATAAAATGTGTCATTAAGATTTTTACACATCCCCGTGCCCCAGAATGGCATCTCCTGCTAATCGTCCCCCCCGCGACAGATGATAGTACATCCCACACTGTTGCTAGAAAAGATGGTGCAAAAGTTGAGCGCGTCGACGACTCTTTTCTGCCGGAAACAATTTTTCCCTAGACCCGGAAGCAGTTGTTGTTTCAAGGGAGGTGGGACTGGGCGGGTCAGGCCGCAGCCGCTGACGGCGGGGGAGGAGCCGGGTCCACTGCCGGGTGGAGGGGCAAGGCGAGTGTGTGTCCTTATCCTAGCAATTGGGGCGCGGGCCTGTGAGCCAGTTGGAGTTGCGGCGGCGGGAACGATTGGGCCGAGCAGAGGACGACATGTTGCTTTTCGTGGAGGTGAGTGGATTTGCTAGTCTCGTCCTGCTCTTAGGAGAGCAGGAGTGTAGAGGCGCCGGCCGGTCCCACCGCCATGTGACTTTCCGGGCCGTACACGCCGCGGAACCGGCAGATAGGCTGACACAGCACCTGGGCCGAGCAGGCCTGCAGCTTCCCTCTGCGCGCTCACAACACTCTAGGAAGCTATGGGAGGTGATGCCCGTAATGGAGAAGAATTGAAGGAGAAGAACGGAGGGCTGGTCTGGTGTGGCGTGAGGTTCAGAGGAGGGGTAAAGTGTCCCATATGGACCTCCTAAAGGAGACGGCATTGGGGGGTTGGGGGGCGGAGTCTGAGAGGAGAGGGTAATCAGGTGGGCGCGTTCCGGGGGCCGAGCGCGGCCTCGCGGGGCCCTCTGGGAGGGAGGCGAGCAACATGTGGGGCCACGGATGGAGGAAGGTGAAATGCGGTAAGTGTTTTGAAAAGAAAATTGAAAAAGTTCTTTGAGCAACCTCCACCAAATTCTGCCCGGGCCCCGTCCCTAGGTCTCTGGAACGTTCTGTGGGTGAAAGCGAGTTACTTTGAATCGAGGAGAAGCCAGTAGGGTTTGGAAGCCTTGAAAGGCACCGCTTTGACCTTTTGTAAAAGTTACTCAAGCAGCAACTGCGTGATGAAGGGTTGGTTCTATGAACCGATTAAAAGCCCTTTACAAGGAAAATTCCAAGAAGGAGAGAAACTTATTCCGGGAAAAGCCGGTGTTTGTAATGTTATTTGAACAATGAGATACTTTTATTACTTAAACTAGAACATCTGCTGTTGGCCTATTTAGTTTTCAAGATAGAGTTGGAGACCTGCCTTACAGAAATACGAAATTTAATTTCCCTTCATTCTGTTCTCTTGTGTGCAGTAAGCGTCAGCTGACTGCCTGGCTAATGCTTTGAGTAGATTCCAGATCATATTGTTCTTACATTGTGAAAACGTCAAACCAGCAAAGCTGCAACTTCGCAACTTGGCGTTTGTTAACTATGCCCATAAAAATAATCTTTTCAATGAGGGAAGGAATTTACAGGTTGTATAATGGGTCTAGGAGCCGGGGCCAGCCTATGGCAGATTTTTTTTTTTTCCGGGTTGTGGGAAAATTTTTATTATTTTATTTTTTAATTTTTCGACTTTTTTTTTTTTAAATTATACTTTAAGTTCTAGGGTACATGTGCACAACGTGCAGGTTTGTTATATATGTATACACGTGCCATGTTGGTGTGCTGCACCCATTAACTCGTCATTTACATTAGGTATATCTCCTAATGCTATCCCTCCCCCCTCCCCCCGTGGGAAAATCTTAATCCATAATGTTCCAGCATAAAGTAAATAAATGATTTTAGGTTTTTTTTTCTGTTTAACTGACATTGTGTCGCCGATAAGCTTGACATCTTTAGTGTTTTAAAAGACTGCTACATTAGAGTATATCTAACATTAATAATAATCATTCATTGGAACATCCGGGGAAATCATGAAAAGATTTAAAATTACTGAACTCATTCTGTTTACTGTTTTCTATCCTCATTGTTGTTTTCCTTAGGCAGAATAAGAAATCAGATAGGATTTTAAGACATTGCCGGCCACTTTGTTTTAGGAATGTTATGCTATGTAAATACCACAGGTTTTAAGTGTGTGTTTTGCTGAGCGGAAGAAAGATTGTGGAGTTTATATTGACGGGAGCTCCACAATATACTTTTGACTTCCAAATTGATTCCTTTGGCTTTATTAAAATGTAAGTTTTAATAACAGCCCCATTTATTGTTTAAATTAGGTCCTCTCCTGTCTCTAAAGCAATACTTAAAATATTCTACAGATGACAAAACCGAGCCCCAGAAGTTAAAGTAACTTTACTTAGTAAAAGTAAAGTAGTGTAACTGGGATTTAGATCCAGGTGTTGCTGATGTCAAATCATGGACGGGATGTTAGCAGTTCAGGCCTGTCCAACTCCCCAGGTTAGACAAATTCTACCATATCTCTGCCAAACTATTATTTAAAAGTTGTATCTCCATTAATCATTTTCTTTGTGAATTACTATGTCGTTCTTCATTTTCTCATATGAGTTTTATTGAAAATTAGCTGTCTTTAAATATTTGGGGCTGAATATGTGGTTTTAAAATCAGTGACAAACAACATATTGGTCATTTGACGTTTTGTTAACTAGTATTTGATCCCAGTAACCTCATGATAGAGGAATTATTCTCAGTGAGAGAACCAAAGCTCAGAAGTTAGATATCTAAGGTCATTCAAGTGTAAATAATGTGGGGGTTAAAGTCTGAAGTCTGGCTTCTAGAACATAAATTTCTGGCTCCAAAATTATTTTTGCACTTTCCCATAAGTCAAAGGTTCTGAATCTAGGTTTTTGGATAGAATTGAGGAAGTAAGTACCTGAGCTTGGTTGGGGAAAAAAAATTGTTTATTTTCACTAGTTTCTAACTGAAATCTAAATGGAAAAGAAGTGAAAATTCTTTAAATGTTAATGGCAGCAACAGTGTCTGTGACCTTGTCACCAAGACAAATCACTTTTTAACATATATTACAGTTTTTGCAGATATCTTGAAATATTTATGCTCATTACTTGCTATATGTCAAAAATATTGTTATTTAACGTATTGCTATATTAGACATTTTAAAATATTTTGACAACTGTGTTTCAATATAATTAGTTTACTTTGTGATCCTATATATTTTAGAAATTTAAAAAAACTCTGAGAAGGGATCCATAGATTAATTGGACTACTGAAGAGGTCTTTGTCACAAAAGAGGTTAAGAACTGCTTTACTAACCAAGTTGCTTGTGGATCATCTTTGGCAGGATTAATCTGGGATCCCTGGGTCCTCTGCAATTGTGTTCAATACCGTTTACTAATGTGTATTTTTCTGGAGAGATTCCAGCTTAACTATCCCACTAGAATCAGTAGAATAGATAATAGCAATATAACAATAATAACAGTAGTAGTACATACTTGTATTGTACTTTGTGTCAGGAACGTTTGATGTTTTTGTATATATAGATATCTGTACATCTTAAGTCTCAATATCTCTATGAGGTGTTAGTATCCCCATTTTAGTGATAAGGAAACTAAGGCAGCCAGGCACAGTGGCTCATGCCTGTAATCCCAGCACTTTGGAAGACTGAGGTGGGCGGCGGATCACCTGAGGTCAGGAGTTTGAGACCAGCCTGGCCAACATGGTGAAACCCCATCTCTACTAAAAATACAAAAATTAGCCAGATGTGGTGGCACACACCTGTAATCCCAGCTACATGGGAGGCTAAGGTAGGAGAATCGCTTGAACCTGGGAGGCAGAGGTTGCAGTGAGCTGAGATGGTGCCACTGTATTCCAGCCTGGACAACAGAGTGAGACTGTCTCAAAAAAAAGAAACTAAGGCACAGAGAATTTAAACTTGCCTAAGTTTTTACACAGTTAGTGAACGTGGAAGCTTGAACTCATCAACCACCTACTTATATTGGAGTAGAATATATTGCAGACAAGGAATCCTATGTAAATAATACTTAGATGCAAGTTTTTAAAACCTGGCCTTGGGCCCAATGTGGTGGCACGCGCCTGTAGTCCCAGCTACTTGGGAGGCTGAGGCAGGAGTTTCGGTTGAGTATGGGAGGTGAAAGCTGGAATGAGTTGTGACTCTGCCATGGCATTCCAGGCCAGGTGACAGAGCAAGACCCGCTCTACTGACTTCAGTAGATTATTGGTTGGTTTTATTTTTTTTCCGCTTGAGACTGAGTCTCTCTCTGTCACCCAGGCTAGAGAGTGGCGCAATCTCAGAAACCTCTGTGTCCTGGGATCAAGCAGGTCCTTTTTTTTTTTTTTTTTTTTTTTTTTGAGACTGAGTCTTTCTTTGTTGCCAGGCTGGAGTGCAGTGGCACGATCTGGGCTCACTGCAACCTCCACCTCCTGGGTTCAAGCGATCCTCCTGCTTTAGCCTCCCGAGTAGCTGGTACTACAGGCGCGTGCCACCATGCCCAACTAATTTTTGTATTTTTGGTAGAGATAGGGTTTCACCATGTTGGCCAGGATGGTCTCTCTTGACCCCATGATTTGCCTACCTCGGCCTCCCCAAGTGCTGGGATTACAGGCGTGAGCGACCGTGCCCGGCGGGTTCAAGCAGTTCTTCTGCCTCAGCCTCCCTAGTAGCTGGGTCTTCAGGCATGCGCTACCATGCCTGGCTAATTTTTTATTTTTTATTTTTAGTAGACATGGGTTTTGCCATGTTGGCAGGGCTGGTCTCGAACAGCTGACCTCAAGTGATCCGCCCTCCTCGGCCTCCTAGAGTGCTGGGATTACAGGCGTGAGCTACAGCACCCAGCCGATTATTGTTTTTTCGTTGTTTGTTTTTTTTTTTTTTTTTTTTTTAATCATCTCTGTTCTGAAGGAGAAACAAACAATGTCCCTCTCTGGAAAGAGGTAGAAGTTTGGATGATTCACAGTCATCAGACATGACCCTTCTTAAATTCTTTTACAACAAATTTTTTGTAAGTTTGAAACTGCATTGTAGGGGCGGGGTACCGTATCCAGCACTGGAAGGAGGCGGGATCAAAGAGAATAAAAAACTTATAAAATAGAAAAAAAACCGGGCAGTGGGGTTAGCCAGTATCGGAGCTGAGGGAGAGGCGGAAGGAGGGGAGCTGAGGAGCGAGATGTGCCACTGCACACTGGCGACAGAGCAGACTCGTCAAAAAAAAAAAAAAAAAAAAAAAAACTGATATACTATCGAATGCTATCAAGTTACTTAAAACTTTTGAGCCCTAAGGAGGCAGATTGTAATTAAAATTTTTTTTTTCATTTCTCTCTTTTAAAGTTTTTTTTAATTTTTAATTTTTTCTTTTTTGAGACAGAGTCTCGTTTGCTGCAGCCTCCGCCTCCCTGGCTTAAGTGATCCTCCCACCTCAGCCTCCAAAGTAGCTGGGACCATAGGCATGTACCACCATGCCTGGCTAATTTTTTTCTTTTTTGGTATTTTTTTGTAGAGACATGGTTGTGTTTTTTTGCTCAGGCTGAAATTTTTGTTTAAAAAAATTAAAACTAGAGGCTGGGAAGGGTGGGTATGCAGTGACTACTAAAATTGTGTTTCTGTCTCTGTTTGAGTTTTTCCCTGAAAATGAAGACAGTTGTCCCTCGGTATCTGTGGGAAATTGGTTCCAGGACCCTCTTTAGATGCCAAAAACCTTGGATGCTCAAGTCTTACATAAAAAGGCGTAGTATTTGCATATAACCTATGCACATCTTCCTGTATATG